ATTGTCAGAAAGTTGGGTCTTCGTCAGAGGTCCTGGGTCTTACAGCAGGACAATGACCCAAAGCACACGTCAAAAAGTACTCAGAAATGAATTCAAAGCGCTGGAGAGGACTGAACTGGTCAGCAATGAGTCCACATCTCAATCCCATAGAGCAGCCTTTCTCAACCAGGGTGCCCAGGCACCCTGGGGTGCCTTGAGGTTTCTTCAGAGGTGCCTTGGCAAAATGTCTAAAAATTGCTTAAATCACCTCTAATCAGGGGCGGACTGACCATTTGGAAACTCGGGCACTGCCCGAGGGCCCGGAGTCAGTAGGGTGCCCCATGATATGCCCCTGGTACCTTTTTCATAGGCTTTTTTGAGTTTGGGCAAGGACACAGGGGCCCCATGATCCCCTATTGCACGGGGGCCCCATGAGTTGTCAGTCCGCCCCTGCCTCTAATGTTGGGTGTCCTTCAAGTGTGGATGTTGCTGCATTATAAAAACTATTAGGATAGTTGTTTACATTTTAGAATGGGGTGCCTCAAGACTGTCCATAATTTTAAAGGATACCTTGGGACTACCCATAATTTTTAAAGGGTGCCTTGAATGAAAAAAGGTTGGGAAACACTGCCATAGAGCACCTGTGGAAAGATCTCAAAACAGCAGCATATTTTCGATTCGAATTCAATTTGAATATTTCAAATCCATTGGAAAAAAATTTATTCCAGTGAAAAACGAAGAAACTAAATTAAACGAAACTCATTTTGTTACAAGTGCAACGAAACGAAATGAGTCCCTTAACGAATCGATCCGAAACTAAACCAATTTTTTCGTTCTGCCCATGTCTAGTGAAAATTCTCTTTGCAAAGAATATCCAATCACGTGCAGGGGCGGACTGAACATTTGGAAACTCTGGCACCGCCCGAGGGCCCAGGGTCAGTAGAGGGCCCCATGAGATGCCCCTGGTACCTTTCATAAGCTTTTTTCGGTGTGGTCTGAGTGTGGGCGAGGACACAGGGACCCCATGATCCCCTATTGCCCGGGGGCCCCATGAGTTGTCAGTCCGCCCCTGCCTCTAATGTTGGGTGTCCTTCAAGTGTGGATGTTGCTGCATTATAAAAACTATTAAGATAGTTGTTTACATTTTAGAATGGGGTGCCCTTTTAAAATTTTGGACAGTCTTGAGGCACCCTATTTTAGAATGGGATGCCTCAAGACTGTCCATAATTTTAAAGGATACCTTGGGACTACCCATAATTTTTAAAGGGTGCCTTGACTGAAAAAAGGTTGGGAAACACTGCCATAGAGCACCTGTGGAGAGATCTCAAAACAGCAGCATATTTTTGATTCAAATTCAATTTGAATATTTCAAGTGCATTGGAAAAAAATTGATTCTGGTGAAAAACGAAGAAACTAAACTAAACAAACTCATTTTGTTACAAGTGCAACGAAACGAAATGAGTCCCTCAACGAATCGATCCGAAACTAAACCAATTTTTTCGTTCTGCCCATGTCTAGTGAAAATTCTCTTTGCAAAGAATATCCAATCACGTGCAGGGGCGGACTGAACATTTGGAAACTCAGGCACCACCCGAGGGCCCAGGGTCAGTAGGGGGCCCCATGAGATGCCCCTGGTACCTTTCATAAGCTTTTTTTGGGTGTGGTCTGAGTGTGGGCGAGGACACAGGGGCCCCATGGTTCCCTATTGCCCGGGGGCCCCATGAGTTGTCAGTCCGCGAAGAAAATAAAAAACAATACAGTATTTTTGGTTGCACATGATTGAATGATGGAAGTCAGTAGAGCTTCACCTCATTCACAAAGCTAAGTCAAAATTATTCTGCAAAGTGAACAGCCTATTTGCCTTTATTAAATCAACCCCCATTGAAAATCCTCTTCAATTGTCCATTAAATGGTGTACAATGCTCGGTCAATGTCTGTTGGAGTGGGTATAAATATAGAGATGTGAATAACAAAGAAGATCAAGGTTATGAGCATGACATAGTTTGCTGAGAGATGGGAAACGTAAGACTACATAATGCTCCCTTATATGAATGAAGCCGTTACATTATGTAGAATATAAAATCTAGAATACAGTAATGCCTATTGTTGGGATGTTCTCCTGGTTTATTGAATTTATAGATGGTAAAGACTGTAAATGTCACAATGCTTGCAGTTTAGCACACTAGTCTTCGGGTGTCCAGTGCATCCCTGTGCCTTAAACCACTTGCCCTCCTGAGGATTTACCCCCCTTCCTGACCAGGTCATTTATTGTGATAAGGCACTGCGTTACGTTTACTGGCGATTGCGCAGTCATGTGACGCTGCACCCAAATTAAATTTATGTCCCTTTTTTTCCCACGCATTGAGCTTTCTTTCGGGGGTATTTGATCACCTGTGCGTTTTTTATTTTTTGCGCTAAAAACAAAAAAAAGACAGACAATTTTGAGAAAAAAAGCAATATTTTTGACTTTTTGCTATTAAACATGTCCAGTAAAAAAATTTAAAAAATCTAATTTCGTCATAAATTTAGGCCAAAATGTATTCTGCTCCATGTCTTTGCTAAAAAAAAATCCCAATACATGTGAATTAATTGGTTTACGTGAAAGTTATAGCGTTTACAAATGGCAGTATATATTGGAATATTTTGTTTATACTAGTAATGGTGGCGATCAGCGACTTATTGCAGGACTGCGGCTGGCACTCTGACACTGGGTGTGAACTAACGACCACTGGCATCCCCAGTGACACCAGTACACTGATCAGTGCTAGTAAAAAGCACTGACACTGTACTAATGGCACTGGGCAGGAAGGGTTTAACATCTGGGGCGATCAAAGGGTTAACTGTGTGCTGTTTTACTATGGGGGCTGTGTGTGTGCTTCACTGTAAGCATATTGCTTTGTATAGCTCTGCTATGCAGAGCCATAAAAAGCAGTGTGCAGGAGCTGACAAGGCAGAGATCTGTATTGTTTACATACAGGTCTCTCCCCTGTCGGAAATCCTCGGAGATTGCCAGGTGTCGGTGGGGAATCACCGGCCGAGACCCGGAGGTTGACAGCCGAGGCTGCGAATGGCGGTGTGCCCCCTACCCGGAACTGCAAAATCATGTGTGTATATGTGTATATATATATATATATATATACATACATATATGTGATTTTGCGCACCCGTGCCGCCCTGTAGCAGTATTTCTGCTATAGGGCGGTGCAGAAGCAGTTAAGGAGTGGTGGGCTCCCTCCAGGCATACCTGCCCTCAGTCTATCCGTTATTATGCATAGGCTTCTACTATGGAATATACTACTAACCAAAATTTATAGAGTTGGGACTGCAGATAATACTGGGGGGGGGGGGGGCTCTGCAGCTTATGCATGTTTTTGCAAATGTGTGCAAACTAAACCTCCTAAACGACATCTCAGACTGGATGTCGCTCCATTTCCTCAAGCTTAACCTCTCCAAAACCGAGCTCCTCGTCTTTCTCCCTGCCCCCCCCCCATCCTATCCATCGCCACCACCAACACCAGTATCATTCCCGCCCCGCAAGCCAAAGTCCTTAGCGTCATTCTTGACTCGAACCTCTCCTTCCTACCTCGTGTCAAATCACTTACAAACACATGCAGGCTCCACCTCCGCAACATTGCCAAGATACGTACCTTCCTCACCCCTGACACCACCAAACTTCTAGTACACTCCCTCATCATCTCACGCCTTGACTACTGCAACTCTCTTCTCACCGGCCTACCCAAGTGCAGGCTCTCCCCGCTCCAGACCATCCTGAACTCAGCGGCTAGACTCATCCACCTCACCACCCGCTCCACCTCTGCCACCCCCCTCTGCCTCTCCCTCCACTGGCTCCTGATTGCCCAACGCATCAAATTTAAACTCCTAACCCTGACCTACAAAGCCGTTCACAACACTGCCCCTGACTACCTCTCCAACCTGATCCCCAAGTACCGCCCTACCTGTACCCTTCGCTTTTCACAGGACCTCCTTCTGTCCTGCTCCCTGGTCTCCTCCTCCCATGCACTACTGCAAGACTTCTCCAGGTCCTCCCCTGTCCTCTGGAACTCACTGCCCCAATCCATCAGACTGTCGCCTTCCCTCCCCACATTCAGGCGCTCCCTCAAAACCCATCTCTTCAGGGAAGCCTACCCCACCCTTACCTAGCGGCCGTTTCTCCCTCATTCCTCCCACCACTTCATTCCCCTCAGCCACTTCCTTCTGTACCATCACCCCCTCCCTCCTAGATTGTAAGCTCGAAAGAGTAGGGCCCTCTTACCCCTCGTACGTTGTCTGTTTTTGTTGTACTGTGCCATGTATTGTCCCCCCCCCCTATTGTACAGCACTGAGCAAACCCTTTGGCGCTATATAAACTCTATGTAATAATAATAATAATGAGAACTATTAAGACCGGACAATTCGGTTGGTTGCAGGCTGGCTGGTAAGTGAGCTGGGAATTTTTGTTTGTTGTTTGACATGTGTCGCCCTTCCACGTGCTCCTTGCTGTAAAGGTCAGTTATAGGTTGGGGCAGTTGCCGTTTGTTTGTACTGTTAGCACACTAGTCTTTACCTTTTCACATTATGTATTATGAATGTAGCGCTCAAACCCTTAAGGGGCGCTGAATTTGATGGGTCCCCTGAAGCTCTGCACAGCTAGGCAACACGCTTTTTCCACATCTTCACGCACAGAGTCAGTAAAACAGTCCTTGAGCTTGGGTTTGTTATTTTTATTAGGGGGTTAACAACTTGGATGGGGTCTAGGGGTATATGGGATGCCCAAGGAACTGTTAAATTGGAGGACAACTTCTCAGCAAACACTATACACTGTACAAAGATGTGGTCAAAAAAGTAGCAACTGTCTCTTTAACCACCTCCCGTCCGCCATATAGTGTAATGACGGGCGCAAGGCGGTCCTCTAGTTCTGGGAGGACATCATATGACGTCGTCGCAATCTAACCGCGCATGCGCGGCTCCGGGAACGCGCAGCGCGGTGATTGGTAGTGCGCTGTGTCCCTTGGACACAGCGGATCACTGATCGACGGAAAGAGCCGAAGATGTCGGCTCAGTCATGTGATCAGCTGTGTCCAATCACAGCTGATCGCATGTAAATAGGGAAATGCTGGTTATCGGCATTTCTCTCCTTACGAGCCGTCACGCTGACAGAGGAGAGCCGGTAATCAGCATTCCTCAGAGGGGACATGTGCACTGATCATCATGGCACTGATGATCAGTGTGCCCTGATGATCTCTGTAGCCCCAGCAGTGTCAGTTGTCAGTGTCCATCAGTGCCTTATGTCAGTGCTCATCCATGCCACCTGCCAGTGCCCATCAGTGCCACATCAATGCCACATACCAGTGCACATCAATGCCACATATCAGTGCCCATCTGAGCTGCCTTTCAGTGTCACCCATAAGTGCCAGTCAGTGCCAACCATAAGTGCCAGTCAGTGCCGCCTATCAGTGCCACCTATCACTGCCCATCAGTGCTGCCTATTACTTCTGCCTAACAGTGCTAGTCAGTGCCGCCTATCAGTGCCAGTCAGTGCCACCTATCAGTGCCATATATGAGTGCTGCCTTTCAGTGCCCATCAGTGATGCCTGTCAATGCCCATCAGTGCCACCTATCAGTGCCCATCACTGCAGCCTCATTAGCGCACATCAGTGAAGGAGAAAAATTACTTATTTACAAAATTTTATAACAAAAACTAAGAAAAAACATTTTTTTCAAAATTTTCTGTGGTTTTTGGTTTATTTAAGAAAAACTAAACAACCCAGAGGTGATTAAATATCACCAAAATTTAGCTCTATCTGTCACACAAAAAAATGATAAAAATTTCATATGGGTACAGTGTTGCATGACCGTGCAATTGTCATTCAAAGTGCAACAGCGCTGAAAGCTGGAAATTGGCCTAGGCAGGAAGGGGTTATAAGTGCCCTATAGGCTAGTGGTTAAGGAGCACTGATGTCCCCTTTGGGGTACCTCCCCATACCCCAGATGAATTCTTCCTCTTTCACCTGGCTGTCCTGAGAGTATCCCTGGGCAAGGGATTCCAAGATCTGCAATAAAGTAGTCCCGAATGAGAACCAGTTGGGTATTGCACCTGACCGCCCTCTCCCTTCTCTGGCCCAGGGGGTGTAGAAGTACTCACACTGTCCTGTCCTGTAGCTGCTTTCAGGCCTTACGCTGGGCTGGCTCCTTCCCCACCAACAGGATGTCCTCCCTGGGAGACTTGTGGCACAGTGGAGATCCTTCCATCCAGCATCAGGCTGTAGGTAGGCCCTCCTTCCTGGGGCCCTCTCCCAGGCTCCACAATCCAGAACCTTCTCTTAGTCCATCTTCCACCTGCCCCTCACACCAGGCTCCCTCTCATTTAAGGATTGCTCTTAGCCACAATGCCCGGCATCCTACCTGGGGACTGGCCAAGTTCCCTTAAACATGCAAATCTGGTCTGCCTCCCCTCTTCCACCCCTCTTCCAAAAAGTTTCAGCAGTTTCTGGAAGGGTGGGATGGCTTCAGAAGCCCGACCTGTAGATCCTCCCAGTCTGTCCTGAGGTGACCTCTCTACCTCACTCCGAGGCTGACTTACAAGCCTCTGACTCACAAAAATCCTATCTAGCTAAACTAGAGGGCGCTATATGAATATTACTATATACTTATATCCATTCTATACATCTACTTGTATTACTTTACACTGCTATACTTACTATACCCTGCCCATGGTTTGGTTGCTCTGTTTTTGTCTGTTTGCATGATTCAGTTCACAATTTAGCGGATTTTTTTTTTTTTTGTAGAGAGGGCCTATGAAAAAAAATTAAACTGAGGATGGAAAAGGATCTGTGGTTCCTAGCAGATCGCAGACTCAACAATAGTATGCAATGCCATGCTGCAGCAAGCAAGACCAGCAGACTATTATTAGGCATTAAAAAGGGCATCGGCTCATGGGATAAAATGATAACTCTACCACTTTACACACTCTGGCTCGGCCATGTCTTGAATATGCCATCCAGTTCTGGTCATCAGTCCTCGGGAAGAATGTGCTGTAGCTGGAGGGAGTCCACACAAGGGCAACATGGTTGCTGGAGGACCTTATGAGGAACCATTACAAACATTACATTTATTCCCCCTGGATAAGAGACACCTAAGAGGGAATATGATGGGGGATATACAAATCTTTGAATGGTGACTCTAGCATTGGGAGGAAACTTTTTAACCTAAGGTCTTGAAAGAAGACAAGCAGCCAGTGGTATATGTAGGTCTTATGCTGCCCTGGGCAACGCAAAAATCGTCCACCCCCAAACCCATGGAGAGAGCCTGACACCGATGCCACCCCCTGCCCCCGTGGAGGAGAGAGCCTGAAACACTGACCAACAAAACCCCTGCCCTCCCACCCAAGAGACCCAAGAGAGCCTTCCACTACTATTGCCCCCCCCATACACCATCTTCCCCACCCGGCGAGAGAGAAAGACACTCACCTTCACAGCTCCAGACATCCTTGGGAATGAGAGTTGGGCTCTGAATATACCATCAACCAGCCCTCAGCCTCTCTCAGATCCCACCTGATCCTCATGCTACGTGTGTCCCTTCTTCAGTCGTTTCTTCCAGAGCAGAGCTGCCCCCCTGAAAAATGCCACCCTAGGCAAATGCCTTGTTTGCCTTGTGGTAAATACACACCTGCACGCAGCCACACAATGAATTTGGATGAGAAGCGGTTCAATCTTAAACTGAATAAAGGGATACTGTTAGAACAGTGAGGATGCGGAGCTCCCTTCCACAGTTCGTGGTGTCAGAGGAGAGTATAAATACATTTAATAAATGTTTATATGTGTTTCTTAGCAAACACAGTACACAGGGATATGGAGAATGGTACTGACACACACACATTATACTGGATGGACTGGTGGCTTTATTCAGCCTTACCAACTATGTAAACCTTTATTGTGTGCTCTGTGTGTGGGAACATTATTTTACTGTAGCGGACTTTACAAGCCATTTTATTGCGGCTGGGATAGAGATGATTATGCTATGTACACATTAATGTTTTAAAAGCCTTGTCTAGAAAAAAAGCAAGTAATACTGTTCTAAAGCTTGCTAATGTTTAAAATGAAAGTATAAATATTAATATCCAGTTATATTTTGTGCATTTAGGAATACATAGAAACTCTTTTTTTTAAACAATCCACTGAGCTGGCCAGAACCAGCTCTTGAGGGAGTCTATTCCACATTTTCACAGCTCTTAGTGTGAAGAAGCCTTTCTGTATGTGGAGGTTAAATCTCTATTCCTCTAGACGTAAAGAGTGTCTCCTTGTCCTCTTTAATTAAAAATAAAGCAAATAGGTTAACACCAAGTTCACCATATGGACCGCCTACTGTATGTATTAATACATGGTGATAATATCCCCCCTTATGTATTATACATGGTGATCATATCCCCCCTTATGTATTATACATGGAGATCATATCCCCCCTTATGTATTATACATGGTGATCATATCCCCCCTTATGTATTATAAATGGAGATCATATCCCCCCCTTATGTATTATACATGGAGATCATATCCCCCCCTTATGTATTCTACATGGAGATCATATCCCCCCTTATGTATTCTACATGGTGATAATATCCCCCCTTATGTATTATACATGGTGATCATATCCCCCCCTTATGTATTATACATGGAGATCATATCCCCCCCCTTATGTATTATACATGGAGATCATATCCCCCCCTTATGTATTATACATGGATATCATATCCCCCCTTATGTATTATACATGGAGATCATATCCCCCCTTATGTATTATACATGGAGATCATATCCCCCCTTATGTATTATACATGGAGATCATATCCCCCTTATGTATTATACATGGAGATCATATCCCCCTTATGTATTATACATGGAGATCATATCCCCCCTTATGTGTTATACATGGAGATCATATCCCCCTTATGTATTATACATGGAGATCATATCCCCCCTTATGTATTATACATGGTGATCATATCCCCCCTTATGTATTATACATGGAGATCATATCCCCCCTTATGTATTATACATGGAGATTCATATCCCCCTTATGTATTATACATGGATCAGATCAAGTCCCCGCCCCTCCCGTTGTGCTCTGTACGTGGTTTACAGGCGCCGACGATCTGCATCTACCATTTCATGGGGTACCTGGAAGCAGGAGGGGGACCCCTGCCTGCCTATCTTTTGGAACGAAAGGGCTCTATATACCTGGAGGTACTGCACCCAAGGCCGATGTCAGTATTTGAGAGGGATGGTCCATGTGTCCTTAGGATCTGCATGTCTGGCTGGTCATCTGCATAAGAGTGCACAAAGGCGCATGTGCGGTCGGTGAGTGCGCATTTTTTCTATCCGATACCCCCTTTATAAGGAGGAAGACCTTCATACACCATGGTCACTTAATTGTGGAAGGACTTTATGAACTATTTTTATTTGTATTCATTTTAGCATGGTTCTTTTTTTAATTAATACACCCCGCTGCACTATATATTATTATTCTTGCTATAAGGTCCAGTGATTCCTTAGAGTGTTCCAGCAGCTGAACTATGAGCGTATCGCTTTACCCTTATGCCATGGTGATCATATCCCCCCCCTATGTATCATACATTATTATTATTATTATTATACAGTATTTATAAAGCGCCAATAGTTCGCTCAGCGCTGTACATTACAAAGGGGGACAGAACATGTGACAGAACAATACCAATACAATGCAAAACATGGGGGGATCGAGGGCCCTGCTCTTTCAAGCTTACAATCTAGGAGGGAGGGGATGGTGGCACAGGAGGAGATAGCTGTGGGGGATGGAGTGGTAGGAAGAGTGGAGGAGGTCGGCAAGTTAGCAGGGGGCGGGGTAGGCTTCCCTGAAGAGATGGGTTTTCAGGGTGCGCCTAAAGGAGAGGAGAGTAGGTGATAATCTGATGGGTTGGGGCAGGGAGTTCCAGAGGATGGGTGACACCCTGGAGAAATCCTGGAGGCGGGCATGGGAGGAGGAGACCAGGGAACTAGAGAGAAGGAGGTCTTGTGAGGAGCGGAGTGTGCGTGCTGGGCGGTACTTGGATATTAGGTCAGTGATGTAGTTCGGGGCAGTATGGTGGACAGCTTTGTACGTCAGCGTTAGGATTTTGAATTTGATCCGTTGCGCAATCGGAAGCCAGTGGAGGGATTGGCAGAGGGGGGTGGCGGAAACGGAGCGGTTGGAAAGGTGAATGAGTCTGGCAGCCGTATTCAGGATGGACTGAAGCGGGGATAGCCAGCGGCGAGGCAGGCCAGTGAGGAGGGAGTTGCAGTAGTCGAGTCGTGATATGATGAGGGAGTGGATGAGCTGTTTAGTGGTTTCTGGAGTTAGGAACGTGCAGATTTTGGCGATGTTGCGGAGGTGGAGTCTGCATGAGTTTGTTAAAGAGTGGACTTGGGGCTGGAAGGATAGGTTGGAGTCCAAAATGACACCAAGTACTCTGGCCTGCGGGGCGGGTTTGATGGTGGCGTTGTTGGACATGATGGAGAAGTCAATGGGGGGTGGTGTCCGGGCTGGAGGGAAG